CACGATGACAGACATAACACAGCAATTCGCTAATAATCAGTTAATTAAGTCGGTCAACAGATACGCAAAAACAAATTCATGACAAAACCACCAGAACAATGTGTATACATCATACACCAACATATATGATATCTGACAGTAAATGACATGACCTTCAACTGGGTGATACAAATAATGGACACACACCTGAAATCACTAACCCAATTAGTGTAAAATACTTTATTTTCGCCTGTAATTCATTTTCACTGAAGGAATGATTCAGTGAACATAAAATCCAATGAATATTTCACATTCAACTTGTCTAAAATCAGTGAAAAATAAATTACATACAGAACACCCAAAAAGTATTTTAAACAAAAATTAATTCCAGTATTTTACAGTATATCGTGTTTGCCATGCTTGGTGCTTAATATAATGTGTAACAATTTAAACACAAAAATGGAAACTTTAGTGTATAACCAGTGTACATACATGTACACCCGTCTGTCCTCTAAGTCGATGTGACTGTCATGATTTAGTTCTATGTACCTAGAGATCGGTGACTGATACGACTTGATAACTGGTTTCATGTGAAGTGCTAGTAAATATCATTCAACACTTTCCCATAACATGTCATCATTTAAGGCTTATACAAGGTCCTGGACGGAACTTGAGCGTTGTATGTGTCGCTTTGAGTCCCATATCGAACAGGACGCGGCACGACGACTGCCGCCCTTTAAGCCCTCATATGACACATAAACATTTACTGTGCTATTTTACAGTCGTATCTTTGACGCAGATCATACATTAAATGAATGATTAGCATGAAGAACAGTGGAGGAGGCAGTGATGGTGAATTTACTAAGTGTTGCATGTCGACGTCGCAGGGTTGCTCCAATTTCCGAATTTTGGTTCCCTTTGTATGTTTCAGCTTTTCATATCATTTCCCACGATGCAATGCTTTTATACAGAGTTGCAGGGCGTCATCTTTTAGCGTTGCCTGCTGTGTATCTTGGATACGCACTGTTTTTGGTACTGTGTGTTGAGTTATACCCCAGACCATTCGTACCGGGACGAATGGTCTGGGGTAGTTGAGTTATGAAGTTGATGTGTTCTTCAGCGATCTTTTCTTCGCGACTTGACTGTCTTGTTGATGGTAATGGATGACGTGACATATAAACCACCTTATAGTCATATAACTCTTTCCTGATCATGTCCAGATCGAGTAGTTTTTGTAACTCTTTTTTCGTTTTTCTTGCGTACATGAAATGGTATTCGTCTCTGCAGTTGTACGATGGGTTTGATTGACTTGTCTTCATGTAATGTATGCCAGTAGTCAGCATCGACAGAAGCTACTGCATTTACTTTGTCAGTTTACCTGCCGTATTGTAGCTAATCACCTGGTTTAGTAACGACGAACATGACTGAACATGACTGAGTTTCATGTGATAACTTAGCTGATATAGTGCTAACAACTGGTAGTGGTTCTTTCGTACCGTTCAGCTTTCTCAGGTTGACTGTAAGTTGTATAACTTCTTATGTTGGATGTAGCACCATTACCAATAAGCATGGGATGCAGTATATTGTTCACGCATGCAGTAATCAAAGATGTTTTGCCACTGTGCTGCGAGTTAACAGTGAACATCTGTTTTTCCTCAGAACTATTCCCTTCATGTTGAACTGCTTTAACTTTGACCTTCTTGGCAGTCCCATTACTCGATTTTTTGCAGGACACTAACTTTCATGCGGATATTCTCCACGACAACAGAAACAGGTCTTCTTTTCATGTCTACTCATTTGTGGTTGACGTTTATGCGATCGCGGTTTGTGGAATTTCACTGCACTAAAACTAGCTGACTCAGTAACAGGTTTTTCCATACCAAGTGCTTGCGATTCAGAAACCTCTAATGATCGAGCTAAATCAAGCAGCTGTTGCAGTTTTTGTTCTTCGCGTGACGTCTCAAACGAGCCGACAGACATCCGCGAATAATTTGTGATATAATTTCCTGATTTTTGTCATGGAATTCACAATGTTCTGCAAGCTTTTGTAGTCTTGTTTGGAACATGTCAACAGTTTCCCCTTTCTCTTGTATGGTTTCTATGAATGTTAAAAGTTTGACAAGTTTGTACTTACTGTGACTGCACGTACTTACTAGAATGTTGTCAGTTTTCAGACTTTCTCCTGCTGGTTTTTTCTTCTACTTGTTTTCACAGAAAGTGTCTCCCAAATCATTCTTGAAACACTCTTGATCACTTGAGGTCTAATCCCATTTTATTCGGAGTCAGGGCGTGACACATCTTATTAAAGTGATCAAACTAACTGAATTACGCATAACTTTGTTAACCGACAAGGTTTTGTAAGCTATTTTTTCCAGCAAGTCTCCAGCATTCAAAGACTGGTTCATCAACAAATTACGTTGTCTCTATCAGTTGTTCAATATCAGTTAAATGAAACTTGTGTATTTGGTTTGGTGTTTGAAATATACTCATGAAATATATTGTTCTTTGCAGCTTTTCATCAACAATGAATTTGTAAATTCCATCAGTGGGAAAGTGTTTCCGACTGTAAATCCAAGTACAGGAGAAAAGATATGTGATGTACAGGAAGCAGATAAGGTGAGAAATGTTGCATGCTCCTTTCAGTCCAAAATATCCCATGGTGAGAAATGTTACATGCTTCATTCAGTCCAAAATATCCCATGGTGAGAAATATTGCATGTTCCTTTCAGTCCAAAATATCCCGTGGTGAGAAATGTTACATGACCATTATAGTCACAATACCAAACTTGTATTTCTCATAGGCCGATGTAAATGTTGCAGTCAAAGCTGCCAAGGATGCATTTCAACTTGGTTCTCCATGGCGTACTATGGATGCATCAGCTAGAGGAAAATTATTGTATAAATTAGCTGACTTGGTTGAAAGAGATGTTGATTATATTGCAGTAAGTACACACTAACTTTATAATTCCAATATTCCATCAAATATGCTTAATTACTTGAAAAAAGAATTTATTGGTTTCTGTCCAAAGTCTGTTTACAGACATGTAGATTCCCTTGCATAAACAATGTATGCTATATATCTTAGACATACATCTCAGTGGTCAACCCTGTCTTTATGCATCACAAAATCTGATTAAAATTGTCATTTCAATAAGGGGTTTCAAGCCAAATTGAAGATTATATGGAATGTTATTATTATGGCTTCAAATATATAAAAAAAACATTGGGGTCACCAGACAGTTTTTAGTCCTTGTTCAGGCATATATAGCCTGAAAAGGGGTCTATAGTTTCTTATTTGTGCTTTCCATCTCTCCTGTTTTCTTTACATCTCCAACATTTTCTCAGAAAATCTGCAGCAGATATCAGTAAAACTTGGCATGTTGATGAACAAGTCACTTGAATA